AGAGAAAGAGAAAGAGAAAGAAAAGAGAGAGAAAGAGAGAGAGAGAGAGGAGAGAGAGAGAGAGAGAGAGAGAGAGCACAAAAATAAATTAAGACACAGAGAAAGAAAGAGAGAAAGAGAAAGAAGAGAGAGAGAGAGAGAGAGAGAGAGAGAGAGGAGAGAGAGAGAGAGAGAAAGAGAGAGAGAGAGAGAGAGAGAGAGAATGAGAGAGAGAGAGAGAGAGAAAGAGAGAGAGAGAGAGAGAGAGAGAGAGAGAGAGAGAGAGCCCAAGGCGTCGTGCATGAACAGAATTTTGGAGCTGATTTCAGCACGAGCAGGTTCCTCGGGCGCAACGCCGGGGCGCCCGGCATCAAGGTTTCCAAGGATAAGCTGAAGCGGGTGAAGCATCTCCAGGGCGGGGCCTCCCAGCGTAAGATTTGCGCGATCATGGCGGGGGCCTCGCTGCAGACATCAGTTGGTTTCGGTGCCGCGGTGCAGGGCGTAGCGGCGCAGGAGCTAGATCGTCTTCGTTCCCAGGCGCCTGCTGCGCTGGGCGCCGAGACAAGCGGCAGGTCCAGGGCGCTTTCGCCGGCGCTTGCACCTCAGCATAACTGTGGCCCCAGTCGGAGAGCCACCGTGGAGCCCATCAAGGCTTTTGCCACTGTTCTCTGGAATGTCTCTGTGCCTCGTCATGTTTCGGCCCGGGGGCATCAGGCGGCCGATGGGGGCCGTCTGGCAAGGAGAGTACGTGGCCTCTTGTTCGCGGTCCCCTTGGTGCCCTCCTGTGCTACAATGGTGCGCGTCGGCATTGTCTTGGTGGGGCCCCTGGCCTGGGGGCTTCCTGATGGGCCCCAACTGCGCCTCGAGGAGATTTGCCCGAGGGTCCTCATGCTGCGCGGCGGGCATGCTATTAGGCAACGGGTGCGCGACCAGATCGCTGGACATATTGAGGCCCCTGAGTTTTGCTGTAGTTTCTGGAGTGGGCCCCTGAAGTACCTCCTCAGCAACGAGGGCGAGCTCTCTCGGCAGTAGCGCGGGCATCTTCGGAGCGCCTCTGTTGGAGCTCAATGGCCTCGAGCTCGGCAGTTTCAGCAAGGTTGGGTTGCGTCCCCGAATTGCCTCGCGTGCTCTGGGGGCCCCGGGCCCTCCTTCGCGGGCGCGCCGAGCGTTCCATCATGCCAGAGGCAATCAGGGGGGCGCTCCCAGAGCTCATTCGAGTGATGCGGGCCGCGTCCAACGATTTACTGCACCTTCTGCTTGAGCGCGGTCTCCTGCCTCTGCCTTCCTTGGTCTTTCGCGCAGCTGCCGACGAGCGAGGCGGTCATGGGGCGCGGAGGCCCCCAGGCCTTGACAGGCGACATATTACTCGTCGGCCCATTGTTCGTTGACGGCCCCGAGCGAGGAGTGGCGGCGCGGGCAGTAGTAGCGTTCGTGGCGAACAGCGACTCTGCCGCGTGCGCTGTCGCAGGGCTGCTCCCGTCGCCGCTCCAGGGAATAGATGGCGCCGAGCGGTGTGCGCTGCTCGACGTCCTCCGCTTTGCTGCGCCGCCTTCGCGTGGAAAGGCTTCAATGTGCGCAGCTCCGAAGGGGCCGCTCATGCCTCAGCTGCTTGGGCGTTGTTTGCGAAAACAGGCATGGCACGAGATCGATGGCTGGGCTTCTCCTCCAGAGGTCAAGAAAGTCAAGGCCCATGTGCCCGAGACAGTTGCGGAGGCAGAGAGTTGCAGAAGGTGGACGAAGGAAGAAATGATGCGGCAGACAACTCTGCCAAGCGTCGCGCGCGCGAGCTGAGGCCCCTTCGACCATTTTTACTTAACAGCGAAGACTGATAGGTTTCTAATGGTTTCAAAAGAGAGCATCATGACTCCCCAGGTAGGTCCGGGCAGGATCTGGAGAGAATCCGCGGAAGTTGTTTTAAGCAAACAGTCATACTTTTCGTGGTCGAGATCCCAGAACTCCATTCCCGGGCCACATTCTGAATGCCCGGAGCCAACTGTAGGCCATTTCGTGGTCGTCGAGTTCCCAGAAGTCCATTCCGGGGCCACATTTTGAATGCCCGGAGCCAACTGCAGGCCATTTCGTGGTCTTCGAGTTCCCAGAACTCCACTCCCGGGCCACATTTTGAATGCCCAGAGCCAACTGTAGGCCACTCCGTGGTCTTCGAGTTCCCAGAATTTCATTCCTGGGCATGATTTTGAATGCCCGGAGCCAACTGTAAGCCATTTCGTGGTTTTTGAGCCCCCGGAACTTCATTCCTGGGCATGATTTTGAATGCCCGGAGCGAATTGTAGGCCACTTCGTGGTTTTGAGCTTTCCAGAATTTCATTCCTTGGCATGATTTTGAATGCCCGGAGCCACCTGCAGGCCACCTCGTGTTCTTCGAGTTCCCAGAACTCCATTCCCGGGCCATATTTTGAATGCTGAGGCAAGCTGAGGGTGAGGCTGAGGCAGGCTGAGGCTGAGGCAGGCTGAGGCTGAGGCCGAGGCTGAAGGCAGACTGAGGCTGAGGCTGAAGCAGGCTGAGGCTGAGGCTGAGGCTGAGGCTGAGGCTGAGGCTGAGGCTGATGTCGGCTGATGCTCAGGCAGGCTGAGGCTCAGGCTGAGGCATGCTGAGGCTGAGGCAGGCTGAGGCTGAGGCTGATGCAGGGTGAGGCTGAGGCAGGCTGAGGCTGAGGCCGAGGCTGAAGGCAGACTGAGGCTGAGGCTGTAGCAGGCTGAGGGTGAGGCTGAGGCAGGCTGAGGCTGAGGCTGAGGCAGGCTGAGGCTCAGGCCGGGGCTGAGGCTGTGACTGCGACTGCCGTTGCCGCTGCGAATGTCATCGCGAATGCGACTGCGACTGCGAGAACAGCATAATTCTACAGCTGGATTCTCATCTGAATCTTAAGGGGAATGCTTCCAGGTATGCTCCTACACATCGCTGTTAGGTTGCGTTGCCGGGATAATTTGCAGCTCGCCAGCACGCAAAAGAAGATGGTGGGATTGGCTGGGAGTTGGACTACCCTTGCAGGTGAGTCCACTGCGAGTGCTGATTGCCTGCGCCGCCAGCGTTCTAGCCTGTCAGTCCCCTCTCTAATGATAATCAAGTCAGAGCCCCCCAGCCTTGAGCAGAGGATCCTTGAGGCCCTAGCTATGCTCAGAACCGGGGACCTATGGAGTAATCATGCTGTTTGTTTGGCTGCTGTTGTAAATCACGTTTTCTGTTGCATGTTTTGCGCCGCGCTCACCACCTCGAGGCTGGCGTCGCTGGTAGGCGAATGCAAGCCTCTTCGCTCGTCGAAAGACCGTCGTTTGATTTTCGGGCGCCTCAGACAGGGAGAGTTCAAGCTAGACGGTGTCTGGCATCGTGTTTCAGGGCAGCGCCAGCTCGCATCGACGTCCCAAGCTAGCCTGCCCTCACAACCTTGCCCTGCGACGATGAGTGTCTGACCGCGTCGCAAACAGTTTTGCTCGTGCGCGGCGCCCGACATGTTGGAGCCAATGGGTATTTGCAAGGTGCGACTTTTGCCTCCGATTGTGTCGACGGTGGACAGACGTTGTCCGCCGCCTAGGCTGTGCCCAGGAGGATGGGGGAGAGAGGGAAAAGGATGGAGGAGACTGTAGGAGGAAGAGGAAAGGATGATATGCGAGGGAAACGGGGAGGATGGGGGAATACGTAGGACGGAGGATGAGGGAGAAGGAGGATGAGGACGAGGAGGAGGAGGAGCAGGAGGAGGAAAAGAAGGAGGCAAAGCAGAGGACATGGTGGACCGAAGCGAGAATCCAGATGTTGCAAGACACCCGCGTGCCCCAAATCCTTCCCTTCGTTAGTCCCGACAAGAATTATTTTCCACTGCGGGAAACACCCCCTTGAATGACCAGCGCCCCGTTGGCCATGCACTTGTGCGAGACTCCTTGTTGTGAAGGACCGGCCCTCTGCCATCCTCCATGCTTTTAGCCAAAAGAAAAACAAGGAGGCAGGATGGGAAGGTTCCTGGAGACGCCGAACGGTGGCCCCGTTTTGGGAAGGACCTGCCCTCCCTCCGTACAAGTTTTGCGCAGTGTCATGTTTCTGGTAATGAAGCGTGCGCTGGCTAGGTCCGCAAAGTTTGGCCACCTTGCCGCCTCGTTGCCGCCTCGTTGCCGCCTCGTGCGCTGGGTGGGTCCAACGAGGTTTCGCTGCGTTGCCGCCCGTTTCCGCCTCGTTGCCGCCCGTTGCCGCCTCGTTGTCGCCTCGTTGCCGCCTCGTGCGCTGGGTGGGTCCAGCGAGGTTTTCCAGCGTTGCCGCCTCGTTGTCGCCTCGTTGCCGCCTCGTGCGCTGGGTGGGTCCAGCGAGGTTTCGCCTTGTTGCCGCCCATGGCCGCCTCGTTGCCGCCTCGGTGCCGCCTCGTGCGCTGGGTGGGTCCTGGGAGGGTTCGCCATGTTGTCGCCCGTTTCTGCTTCGTTGCCGCCTCTAGCTCGCCATACCGCACCACACACAGCTAACACCACATAGTCTACGCCACGTAGCTCACAAATCCACAGTGCAGTATCTGACTGTTAGGGCTCCTGGCTGCCATGTTTTCGAATGGAGGAGGTTGATCAGGATGTCCTCCTGGAGCATCCTACAAGCCTTCTCCCAATCGCAACCACTTCTAGAAATTCTCATATTTCTCAATGTTTACTTATTCCTCCCCCTCGGCTTCACTCGTTCATGTCCTAGAGGAGGAGGAGGAAGAGGAAGAGGAGGAAGAGGAGGGAAATATTGTGGAGGTGGAGGAGGAGGAACGGGAGGAGATGGAGGAGGGGGAGGAGGAGGAGGAGGAGGAGGAGGAGGAGGAAGAGGAGGAGGAGGAGGAGGAGGAGGGCGACGGGAACATCGGAGGAGGAACGTATGAGGATAATGTTGAGAAGGACTTGGGGAAGATTGGGGGAGGAGGGGACGAGGGGAAGAAGTACGAGGAGGAGGCGCGGGGGGTTGCAGGGTGTCAGGACGAGACGGGGTAAGATAAGCAGGAGGAGAGGGAGGAGGAGAGGGGAAGGAGGCTGGGGAGGAGTGTCGCCAGGCACGCTCCACCAACTCTGACGCACACGGCAGCCGCGCGGCAGCCGCCATCCCCGGCTCACGTTGCCCCCGCAGCCGCGGCCAGGCCCCGCCGTGGGGAGGGACGGCGATGCGTCGACGCGCCGCCGTTGCCGACGTGGGATGCGGAGGCCGAGGAGGACAGATGAGGAGGAGGACGAGGAGGAGGAGGAGGAGGAGGAGGAGGAGGAGGAGGAGGATGAAAGTTGGAAACCGGGGAGGAGAGAGGAGGACCTCACGCCCGGATTGAAGAAGCGTCATCTCTTCGTGGATCTGGGCGGGCGTCCGCGTGCATCTAGGGCCTCAGGAAGCAACTCCTGAGAGGTTGACTTCAGCATCGGCGCTGGCACATCATGACTATGAGCCTCATCCTGTATTCGGGGAACCAACATTTAGACAGCCGCGCGGACCTCAGAATTGTCATGTTCAGGCCATTGAGTGTTCCCCTGTGTATAGTCCCGCTTCATTCCGCCTAACCTCGCGTATTTTTCAATCGGGCACAATCCTGGGTTTAATCTGGCGCAGTTGCCCCACAATCTGGCCTCAGAGCCCTTAGCCGTTCTTGCGAGTGCGTCGCAGGAGTTGCCTCCTCCTCCTGAGAAGTTGTTTTCATCCTCCAGTGCGTAATGGTCGTTAGCCTCCGCTAGGTCCACCTCTTGAGCCGCAGCGTAGCTCGCTCCTGTGCGCTCTAGTGCGGAATCTAGTCCGCTGCTCGTTAGCCGCGTTTCTTGACGGCGCCGGGCTTTCCTGCGCGCTCGCGAACAAAAAATTAGCCTGACGAAGAACCCAACCATGTGCAATTGCGAGTACCGCATTGTGGGTACCGGTTTCGGTGGAGCTCCTATGGGGCCACGAATCTTGTGAGGGGTGCGCCGGAATTGGTGGCGCGGACGCATGTGGACACCGCCACTGGGGCCTTCGGTGTAGCTCCCTATGGGGCCACGAAGCGCTGCCCTAGGCGAGGGAGACGCATGCGAACTGCGCCATTGGGACCTTCGCTGGATCTCCTTATGGGGCCACGGAGCGCTGTCATGGGCCATGAATGGGGGAGACGCATGCGAACTGCGCCTCTGGCGCCTTCGGTGGAGCTCCCTATGGGGCCACGAAGCGTTGTCCTGGGTGGGAGAGACGCATGCGAACACCCCGATTGAGGCCTTCGGTGGAGCTCCCTATGGGGCCACGAAGCGCTGTCCTGGGCAGGGGAGACGCATGCGAACACCCCCACTGGGGCCTTCGGTAGAGCTCCCTATTAGGCCACGAAGCGCTGCCTTGGGTGGGGGAACCGCATGCGCCCACCCCCACTGGGGCCTTCGGTGGACTTGCGTATGGGGCCACGAAGCGCTGCCCTGGGTGGGAGAACCGCATGCGCCCACCCCCACTGGTGCCTTCGGTAGAGCTCCTTATGGGACCACGAAGCGCTGCCCTGGGTGGGGGAAGCGCATGCGCCCCCCCCCGCTGGGGCCTTCGGTGGAGCTCCCTGTGGGGCCAAGAAACGCTGCCCTGGGTGGGGGAACCGCATGCGCCCACCCCCACTGGGACCTTCGGTGGAGCTCCCTATGGGGCCACGAAGCGCTGCCCTGGGTGGGGGAAGCGCATGCGCCCCCCCCCTCACTGGGACTTTCGGTGGAATTCCGTATGGGGCCACGAAACGCTGCCCTGGGTGTGGGAACCGCTTGCGCCCCCCCTCACTGGGACCTTCGGTGGAGCTCCCTATGGGGCCACGAAACGCTGCCCTGGGTGGGGGAGCCGCATGCGCCCCCCCTCACTGGGACCTTCGGTGGAACTCCCTATGGGGCCACGACGAAGCGCTGCCCTGGGTGGGGGAACCGCGTGCGCCCCCCCCCTCTTTGGGGCCTTCGGTGGAGCTCCCTGTGGGGCCACGAAGCGCTGCCCTGGGTGTGGGAACCGCATGCGCCCCCCCTCACTGGGATATTCGGTGGAGCTCCCTATGGGGCTACGAAACGTGTGAGAGGTGTGCCGAGAGCACAGGCAAGGAGGGGGTGGAGGGAGGAGGGATGGGGCAGCGGGAGGAGGAGTGAACGCGGGGCGCTGTCTCTTCAAAACGAGGACCCAACACCACAGGATGGTTGGGAATAACAGTCGCTACCCGGGCCAAGCCCTCCCCCCCTTGAAGGGGAGGGGGGGGCCGGGCAACGACCAGGAAGGGCGATTCCTGTATAACCAACCCCAGGGAGGGCCTCGACTGAACGTAAGAGTGACCTCTCTCTCGCTGGAGTGACCTTTGGTGCGGGCCTAATGGGGTCCCCAGCCGCCGAACGCGATGCGGTAGTAGCGTTTTTGCGCTCGCTTTTGGGCTCCCCGCGGCCCCCCCAAAACCGCGCACCAAAGGTCACTCTTACCCAGGGTCACTCTTGCGTGTAGTCGAAGGGCCTCCTTATGTGACAGTAACGATTGCACGTAGTTCACGCGCAGACTGTGGCGATCTCAGCGCACCCCCTCCCCGACCTGACCCACCCCGCCCAAGCGATACCGCTACCCTGGGCCCCGACCCCCCTCTGGGCAAGGACCGTTCAGTGGAGAGGCATCCCAGATGGGTTCGGAGCAGATGGGGTCGGAGGGTTGTGCCGCATCGCCGATGCATCGTCGTTGGAACAGCGACGTGGGCGAAGCATCGGCAACGTCGGCGTTAAGAAATCGGGCTCCACATCGAGCCGCCGCGCCGATGCATCGGAGATATCGCGCGATCCTCCGATCCCGTCTGCTCGGACCCCATCTGTGAGTACCTTGACAACACATGAATATCGGAGGGGGCGTCTTTACGCACCTGCTGATCGAGTAGGAAATCGACCACATTATTGATGTACTTCAAAAAGCACTTGCTCGTCGGGTCCGCAAAACGTACGCGTAGAATTGTCCCGTGGTCTGTGACCATTCTACGTATTTGTTGGAAGACTCGACGAACAAAACAATGTTTTTGTGTAGATCAATTGTGTAGTCGATCCCTTACGGACGGCCCTGATTGGCAGGTAGACCATGCCACATCGAGGGCACCCTCGTGTCCTGTCTGTCCCGATCTGTGCCACCCGCATGCCTTCTGATGCTCCGGAGACGCGCGGCCGTCGGACGAGCCTGGTGCCCTCTCGGGTGCCTGTCCAATCCAGTCCGATTGCACTCGAGCATCTCGGGCCGAACGAAAGGAGGGGATAGGGAAAGGGGGGGGGCACGAAATCTGCTGCATGAAACTGGTTTCGGCCCCGCCGCGGGCCCATTCCTCGATACATGGGCGCCTCCTGGCGCCGGGAGGCGCCGGGAAAATCAGCTACGTGAGCTGATTCTCAACCCCCCTCTTTGCTATCCCCCCCCTTTCGCCCGGCCCGAGCATCGGAGGGGCAGTCCTCACGCACCCTGCCGAGAACCAGAGAGAGAGAGAGCGCCGCGCGCAGGCCGGCCGCGGTGGCCGCGGCGGCGCAGGGCGCCGCGAGCGCCGAGCAGCAGGCGGCGGACGTCGTCGGCCGGATCCGCGGGGCGCTCGGGCGCCTGGACCCCATCTCCCAGGCCGGGGGTGTCTATCAATCGGCGGCGCGCCTGGGGGGTGAAGTGAGGAGCAGGGCTGGACCTAAACGGCGTTTTGGCGATTCCGTGGGACGTTTTCGTTTCGACTTCGTTTTGCGGTAAAGGCGGATTGAAGACAAAACCAGGGAAAGCGAAAACAAAACGAAAGGAGGCTCGGGAGTCCCCCGGCCTCCTGAGGAGTGCTCCAAGCCTTCCCCGAGGACAGAAAGCCTTTCAGAAGGCCGGGGGACTTCTGAGAAGTCCTCCGCCGCCTCCTGCGCGGGCCTTCTCCTCCTCACTTCCCCTCGCTCGAAGCCGGACCAAGGGAGGAACAGCCACCCCGACCCCGCTCTGGCGTCAGCGAAACGGCCTTGGGCGTTGCCTGAACCGCCCTGCCCTGTTCGATTCCTTCCTCGGTTCGGATGCGATCACGAAGCGGCTTCGCTTGTCGGGGTGCTTAATTACCTCCTCTTCCTCCTCTTCCTCCTCCTTTTCCTTCTCCTCTTCCTCCTCCTCTTCCTCCTCCTCGTCTCACAGTCGGGCGCTTCTGTTTTCTGCTCTACAGTCGTGGGGCGCTTTGTTTTCCGTGCCTCTTTCAATAGTTACCGAAGGGCTGCCAATTGCGCGCTATTCTGCCCACGCGTCCTTCCGGATGCTTGGCTCTGTGGTGGTGGTGGTGTCGGGGTGTTTAGTATGAGGGTGGATTCTGCTCTCTAGTCTCGGCCTCCTATCAGGGGCAACGATGGCAGGGGGGGGTAGGCATAGCGGGGGGCAACGTTACGGAGATTCGAGGTTCGAGGTTTGGGAGTTGTCGAGCGATGTCTGTTCTCGGTGGTTTTCCAGCCTCGGGACGCCTTCCACTGGCTGCGCCTCGCCGAGGGCGATCTGGGGGCTGCCCGAATCGTCCCGAACGGCCACCCGAGGCCAGAGCAATGACCCGCAAACCTTCAGGGGAGAGGCTCAGAGGGGGCCGCATCGAACCCCCATCGCCCATTGATCGCGGATTGGGGTCCGATAGCCACATCCCGCCCAGGAACGTGCGGATTCGCCGTCGGTGGCCTATCAGGGCCGCCCACGATCCGATTCGATGCGATTCGATGCGTCAGCCAGGGCCGCGATCCCGATTCTGTTCGATTCGTGTCGTTTCACTGGCACCGATCTAGGCCAGCCTGAGCCAGGCGCTGCAATCCGATCTGGACGATTCGCTGCCGATCCCGTCCGTTTCCGATCCGATCCGATTTCGCGATTCGATCCGGCTCTGCTCTGCCTATCGCCGACCTGCCCGCCATGTACCGCCTGCTCCAGGTCGATGTTTCCCCACAGTTGCCCCTCATCATAGAGGAGGTCAGGATTAGATGGGGTCGGAGAATCGCGCCGCATCGCCAATGCGGCTCGATGTCGAGCTCGATTTGCTTTGCGTCGACGCTGCCGACGCATCGCCGACGTCGACAATACACCGCCGACGTCGACAATGAGCCATTGCCACATACGTTCATAACACTTATTCCGTCAGCAACACCCTGTACAATGCGACGTGCTTGTCGGATGCATTCGAGTCCCATCTTTCCTCCGACTGGGGACTGCGCATCAAGGCATCCAGCAAATCATGCATGGCTGGTGCAGGAGGCGACGCATCCGTTTCAGACCCAGACGTTTGGAAGCCGTCGCAATCGTTTGAGGCTTTGGGGCCATATCCTGGAAGATGCGGGATCGTGCGCGATGTGTGTTGATAGGACTATGGCCGCCATGTGGCGTGCGTTTAGTGCCAATTGTGCAGCCAGTGGCCGCCCACCGCAACCCTGGAGGGGCGCATCGATACTTGTCAGCGTCGCATGGTCAGCCATCTGATGCGGGTGCCGCGACAAACTGGTGAAGAAGCGCCAACTTACTTCCGCCGCAGGGACAGGGGCGCCAAGGATCTGTAGTCAGAGGCGGTCGTGAATCCATCGAGCCATCGTCATTGCACTCGAGTGCCGAATTGGCGAAAACACCCCGAACGGCCGCGCAACCGTCGTTTTTGGGCGGCCCAGCTCCTGCGCTGGCAAGGCGAGCGCTGGTTCCAAAGCCGGAGGACGCAGCTGAACAGCTACAGCGTTCATGCTGGACGCACGGATACGAGATCGGCGGCTCGTCGTCCACGACAACGGTTGCACGATGGAGCCAGGTTTGCTTTAGAGCAATTGCTGCTTGGCTCGCATGCTGTTCTTTATCCGTTGTATTCTTGCAGCAGCTCAAGCGCTGCAGCGGGCAAGTCGCCTGCTTTGCGCGTTTATTTGGTATTTTTTTTTTGGGGGGGGGGCGCACGCTGCCTGCAGTGTTATCCCGCCTTTTGATTATGATTCTGCATCGCTGATGCATCGCCGTTGTATCGGCGATGCGGCGAGGTCCTCCGACCCCATTTACTCCGACCCGATCTAGAGGAGTGCCCGGACATCCAATGTTTCGACAAAGGTCACGGCGGAGGGATTTGTCCTGAGATCCGGACGGCGCATTTTTAACAACAGGCGATTTTGCTGTGCGTCCAGCCGCAGGACCCTCGCAGTTCGACCCGGCTGGCAAAAACTAATCCGGGGATCCGGTCGTGATTTTTGACGATGATTCGTTTATTCCCTACCTAGGCTCTGCCTAGAATGGTTCTTACTCGCTTGGCTTAAAGGGCCGGGTAGTGGAACCCGCCCCGGGCGGTTCCTCCCGTCCCTTGGGAGCCAAGCAGAAGCAACAGCAAAGGTAAAAGCAAACGCGCCGTTCCCCCAGTTGCGCTCCCTGGGTGCCAAGCAACAGCAAACGCAAAGGCAAACGTGAAGGCAAAAACGAAGGCAAAACAAACACATAGCATAGCATAACATAGCATAGCATAGCGCAGCATAGCAAGGCGCAGCATAGCAGAGCATAGCCCAGCCTACCTTAGCCCAGCATAGCATTGCGCAGCATAGCATAGCATGGCATATCGTATCATATCAGATCATAGCATATCATCGCATAGCGCTGCTGCTACTACTACTACTACTACTACTACTACGACTACGACTACTACTACTACTACTACTACTACTACTACTACTACTACTACTACTACTACTACTACTACTATTACTACTCTTACCGCCACTGCTACTGCTACTGCTACAACTACGACGGTGAGGAGAAGGAGGAGGACGGCGTTTACCGCTCCTACTATTGTTGCTCTCCCAGAGGCTCCAACTCCTAGGTAGGGTTGCGCTGGGATCATTTGTTTGGCAACGCCAGATCTCAGGGTTCGCCGTTCTCGGCCTTTGGGAGCCCTCGCTGGGCCCCGGGTCTGTAAAGGAAGATTCGAGGAATAAGACTTGGCCCCGGGGAGAGCATCGGAACTTCCGGGGACCCCGCATGGAAAACACGTGGCATTTCATGCCTGGGCGGGAAGGGGAAGGCTGGGGGGGGGCCCATGATCGCCCCAATCGACCGGCGGAGGCCCGAGAAATGCTACGACAGCGACTTTCGACCGCCACGAGGCAAAGTGACGACGATCAATGGAGAGGAAGTCTGTTGCCAAATATTTCTCAAATGTCTAAAACATGTCTTAAACATGTTTTAAACATGTAACGGCATTTTAGGACATGTTCCAAACATGTTCAAACATGTTTCACTTAACAACAGGATTGTTAGGGTGTCCACTGTCATGGCATCCACAACCATGAGGCAAACGGGCCCTGAGGGAAATGCAGTATCGTGTGACCTATCCCAGCCGGGCAAGAGTATCTCAGCCGCGTCATCTCAGACCCCCAGTCGTGGATGGGCCATTCAAGTCCCGAAGGGAGCAGCCAAGATCCCCATCCGAGGGAGTGAATCGGCCAGTGGGGCCAAGGCTCATCGAGAAAACAAATATCCTTAACCGTAATCACACAATGAAGACGTCGCCTCACTTACGTTCCCGTTTTTGCATCAGGGATCATCGATATGTTTGTTTCCGTATGGAACATATGATGTTGTATCGACTCTCTATCACTAGTGTTTCGGGCCGCCTCCTAACTTAGATCCGCTCCCAATGGGTTCGGGGTCCTTGCAGTGCTAATCAAAAGCCACGGGGGGAGGGAGGGAGGGAGGGAAGGGGGTGAGAGGGGGGGAGGGGGAGGAGGCGGAGGAGGAGGAGGAGGAGGAGAAGGAGGAGGAGGAGGAAGAGGAGGGGAAAGAGGACCCCCCCCGCCCCACCAATGGTAGCGGTGGTGGAACATTGGCCCATTAGTGAGATCCTCAGGGAGTCGCCCCGAACGGGGTCTTTGGAGATTCCATCGGCCACGTCGAGCCTACCATTACATCGGGCCTGCCCCTATACAGGAGGAATATCCACCAATAGTCATAGTCTGGGGACATTTTTCTTTATTACTTTTGAAGATTGTTGAACATTTGTTTGGCAAGTTGTAATTTATCATCCGACGCCCGCGAGTAGGAGGACATGCCAACCTAAGCCTACCTAGATTTTGGTAGATGCGGTCGTCACGGAGCAGATTCAGGCAAGTTGGTTCGCGGCCGCTGGCTAGTCTGTACGCCAGTTGGATGTAAATACGGAAAGAGGCTGCACACATGTACACACACGTTTTCTCCTCTGCCTCCCCCGCGTTTGGCCCCCGGATGCTGCCAGTCGGAGTGCTCCCCGATGTGCTTCCACGCCTGCTCGCACATATGATCATGTGCCGTGGCACTGCGACCACCTCGTGCAGGAGGGTTTGCACAGACACCAGAACTGCTTTCAATGAACGCAGCTCTGGTGCCTGTGCAAACCCTCCTGCACGGCTTGTTGGCAACTTCGCCGCGCCTGCACGACCCAGCCACGCACTTGATCTAAAGCAGGTGTGATGGCCTTGAGAGCTCCAGTTCCTCCTCCTGCTTATCCTCCTCCTCCTGTTCCTGGCACCTGTGCCACTGGGACCCCGTCCCAGAAAAAACAGGCGGGTAGCAGCCCGATCGTCACCCTTGCTTGCCCGTGGGGGGCCAGGGGAGAGAAAATTATTCCTCGTCGCCAGCGG